AGCCCCTAGTTGGTTTTAAAGGAGTGGCCATAGCACAGCATTCAACCGTGATCAGCTTGGGTCATTCATTTGCACAACTGTCACAACGATGCATTGCGTCAGCGGTAGTTCCCTTCCGAATTCATCAGTCATTGAAGACGAGGGTAGCCTGCTGGCCCTCCGCCCTGTTCATTAGATTCATTTGAAGTCAAGACTTGTGCTGAAGGTTTGGGGCCAATCCCCTGGCAGATTGCGATCCTCGGCGGTACTTCAAGTGTTCGTTGTCAAAATCCAGATGCTTTTTCTTTCCCATTCGGGGTCTGAATGAGATCATTTTCAGGAACGAGATCTTCCCCTTGCGCTGTCGGGCTGAGGCAGGGCAATTGGAAGGGGAAATTAATCAAAACGAATGGTTTGGACTATTGGAAGCCCGGTGAGGGCCCTTTACAACTTAACTGATCACCGAATGATTGCCGTGGGGTTTTGCCGGAGCGGCTTTTCCCTTGATAGAGAAAGGTGCTATGACGAGGAACGTGGCCGATTGTGGGCGTTGCTTTGAGCGGTCCGCTATGTTGAATCCAAAATCCGTTTCTTGAAACTTCACATCGCTAGGCGCAGTGCCTCATCGCATCGTGACTTGTCATAGATGGACCTCTTTCAGCCCTGCACTTCAATTCTTCTGTCACTCGGGCAGACTGCCGAGGCTTTGTGAAATCTTCAGTGCCAGTGTAGCTTTTGGGTTTCCTGCCCCTTGGTACATTCGAGACACCAAACCAACACGCCGCATGCAAGTCCGGAGCAGCATCACATGTTGCAAGGGAGCTTTAGGTGCGTCAACGACGAAGTTTGACGGTTTGACTTTGACACTCAGATCTTGGAGAAGACCTTGGGTGCCAAACTGGCATTCACACCAAGCATTTTGGCACTTTGGCATGAGGTCACACAGATGTCATGACAGATGTTTGATGCTGTTAAATGCTATGTTCCACTAAGGTCCTCGTTCTTGGTTATGCCTATGTGAGGCGGGCTTTGCCTGCCTGGAGCTCTGAGTTTTTGCGCAAAACCGTTACAAGACTAAACGGCTGCGTGTTTTGTTCCACATCGATTGCCACCCTAAGGAGACCAAAAACCGGAAGGTGGAAGACATCTTGGAAGATTTCAACCGGCGGTGAGATGAAAAGGATGCACCTCAATGTCACAGAACTGCTCCAGTTGCACAGTTTCAGACGAAAAGCAAGCAGGGGTGAGTTGGATCCAACCAAATCCGTTCAGCTTGCGTATATCGTCCTAATCGCCTTTGACACGCAGGGCCAAATTTCGGCTCTCGGTGTTCGATCTCCGCTTGGCTTTGCTCGTGGCCCAGCGAAGCATCTTGGCACAAAAAATAAGGATTTTAGTTTGGTGCCCAACCTCGGGTGTTTGAGGTATTGTGAACACTGGCCACGTTTAAACAATAATGGAAGCATCTATAGAGAAGGCCATATTACGTTCCTTATGCTATTAGGTTGAAGGCCATCGCTCTTAGGTTTGAGGCATCGCTTGTAGGTTGGAGGCCATCGCTATTACGTTCCTTGTGCTATTAGGTTGAAGGCCATCGCTCTTAGGTTTGAGGCATCGCTTGTAGGTTGGAGGCCATCGCTATTACGTTCCTTGTGCTATTAGGTTGAAGGCCATCGCTCTTAGGTCGAGGCATCGCTAGTAGGTTGGAGGCCCGCTATTACTTTCCTTATTTATTACTATATATGTTTTTACATTAAAGCTAGTTCTTATGACACAGCAAAAGTATAAAAATGCAAAACCAGTGCTGCAAAAATGCACAGAACACGCAAAAAAGAAGTCACCAAGGGGAGCGTTGGAATGCAAAAAATGCCAACAAAATGCGGTAAAAACACATTTGTCCATTAAAAAAAACACCCAAAAAAAAGAACGCACAAAACATGCAAAACAAACAAATGCACACAAAATGCGAACAAGAAGCAAAACAAAAACGATCAAAAACGGTTTGGTCTTTGCTTTAGCATGTTTTTTTCCTGTTTATTTGCCTCTAGATTGCCAGTCCTTTTGCGTTGTTTTTGCATTTTCTCTGCGTTTCCTTCGGGAAAACGCGAAAAAAATAACGCAAACAAAACGGGAAAAAAAACAACGCAAAAATATCGCAGACAAAACGCACAAACATCGCAGCAGAAAAAAAACAAAAAAAACACCAAAAAGGTGGTGTGTTAAATTTGGTTGTGCATGTTCTTTTTTTTTGCGTTGTGTTATGTTTGTTTTTTAACTGTTGTTTTGCGTGTTGTTTGATTTCTTTTCGGCTTCCTTTTGCAAAATGTGTGTTATGTTTTTAATATGCACTCTTTTGACCAGCTGCCTTTGTCATGCCAATTTTTGGATTTCCTGGTCATCATTTCTGAGTGTGGTGTTGCATTTATTTTGTTTTTTTTATTAGTCCTTGAAATTTCAGAGTTAGGCTGTAAGGCACATCATAATGCTATTAGGTTGGAGGCTTATTTGGGGCCGCCAACATGTGCAGGATGCGTGCCCGAGCTGGGAGCGGCGAGCACCATGGCATCAAGACAGCGGGTGCCTTGCCTGGCTGAAGAGACCTGATACAGCCTGCTTCTCCTTTAGAATCAATTCACTTGCCAGATCAGTGACGGTTGAACCTACCAGCGCATGCCTTAATGCAGGGAAACGCACAGAAGAGGCCTTGAAGGAGGCCAGCGCCGGCTGAGCTGCTTTTGGCTTCACGTTTGAGGTAGTGTCCAGATGAGTGGCAATGCTTAAAATGCAGTTAATTACTCCTCCACGAGGACAATACACTCACCAAAAGAGGATCCCATGCTTGATCATGCTCGACAATCGAACAAATAACACGTCCCAATGACCTTCAGCCACGCAAAAGTGTTGACTGCAACTCATTCGAGCAACAGGATTAGAGTTGTCCAGCCTATGTTCTCTTTTCCCTGTATGGCATTCCGGCCCACAACGATCACAATGTCACAGGTCGGCGATTCCATGAATGAAGTCTTCAAAGACATGAAAGAGCAATGGAGCAAATTCACAAGGTGGAATGGGTTTTGTGCCAGAAGTTCCACACCTGGATGTTTAATTGATCACTGGCGATCCTTCATAGCATTTCATGGCTAAAGTTTGAAGGCAGAGACTTGTTGGATGCTTCGTTTGATTCAAGCGTTTCAGCTCTTGCCTCAGGCCAAGCTGGTTTGGTGGTGCGGACCCCAAAAACTGGGGGAGGCACAAGCAAACATGCGGTTTGAAGAGACTTGAATGAGTGCTTTAATGAAGGATTCATGGTGTTCGGGTCACTTTGCGACCACATTCCATCTTGAGGCACAGGCGCAAGTCCAGTATACTGTTACTGCAAATGTAATAATCATTGAATGGTTCCTGTTAGTAGTCGAGAAGTAAGTAGTTAAAACTATCAGTCATACCTAGGTTGCACATCAGTTTTCTAGCCCAACTACCCCCATGACTTTTGAGGTGCCGCATGGTGTGACCGAGGCTCCTCAAAGGAGGCGCATCATCCAGTGCGGCCGGGTTCCTCCAAGGAGCCAACGGAGGTCCACGCCCACCCTGAAGATGATGCGACTATGCGGCCAGGGACTTTGAAATTGCTCTGGTTTAGAGGTGGCTTCAGTTGGTTATTTATACCAGGGCTGGCAAATATGTTGCAAACCCCTTCAGACGCAGAAGTCGAATGACAACGCCTTACAATATTTGTCCACTTCCACGGCCAACTGGGGATGGTTGGTGTCAAGAGCGGCTCCTTTTGTAGAATTGAATTCCGCTCTCTTCCTTTGGGCGTGCGGCATCGTACCAAGCTTTGATGTGTATTTCTTTCAGCCAGTCACTTGAAATCCTCTATTTGTTTTGAATGATGGCCACTTTGGTTTGGAAGGCGAACCCATGAACTGAGGCACCATTGTGCTGCATTGGAGCGTTTGGTCGAGATGGGGCTTTCTCCCCAGGCGCCCCAAAGAGAGAAAGGCTTGTGTGTGCTTTCTTTGGACCAATGAAAGCTTGAGGGACTTTTAAAGTACAGTAGGAAGTCATTCCGCAGAAGGCAAATCTTAGACGTGGAAAGATAGCCATATATGTTATCCATGTGTTTCTTTGGAGATACTTGAACCTGCAAGCAAAATGCATAAAATAGTCTAAGATGGGGCCAGGTCAACACATAAGGTCAGGTCTTCGGAATCCCATCGTGCAGTACGTTGTTCTACTTTGCTCAATTTTGAAGTGTTGCTCAGGTTTGACTCCCTATCAAATTGCACAAACTTGGCCTGACAGTGTCTCAAGATTGGCGAACCAAGCCACACATAACCACGTCAATTGATTATTTGATTGATTATTTGGGTCAATTCTACATTGCAGCTAAGGTGTCCTGAACTGCTTACACCATGGTTTCCGCACCAGCCTACTACCAATCGCTGGCAACCCGCCCAAAACATATTGCGCGAAGCGGTTCTGTCCAGGCAGCCAAGGTGGCAGTCCGCCGGTTGGACAGTTGGCTCGTCAGTGAGGAGAGACATCTCGAGGGGCTTAGAGCTATCACTGCTCAAGACACGAAGCATACCTCAGCTGGTTGCAAAAGCTTCTTGCGCATTATTCCCGAAAGCATGCGCGAAGGGTTCTCCGTAAAGAACTGCTGCCAACATCATCATCATCATCATCATCATCATCATCATCATCATCATCATCATCATCATCATCCGGGTGCTGAGAGATGTCGGTGGTACAATTGCTATGACACACCTACATAGATACTGGTCTTTGGATACAGGTGAAGACGCTTACGAAGCCCAACTGCGCAACTACAACTTCGACATGTTTCTCTTTTGCAAGGCGGCGGGCTGGCCCGGCCGATGCTTAAAAAACAAAATCGTGCATGTCCCTGGGACGTGGACGGCCCTTATGCGTAAATATGTGGTAAGCTTGGCGAACTTTGCGAAGATCGTGCCCGTCGCGTTCTCAAACGTTCGGTGAAGCCCGAATTCTTGGTGACGTCTGTGACCCCTTTGCGGAGATCGCGCGTGTCGTCGTCGAAAATCAAGGCGGAGGTTGCTAAAATATAGCCAGACCAGATGGGTTTACGTAAGGCAGCGGCACTACATGCAACATGTCTAACTTTTATACGTATTTTATATGTGTTCTCAATGTTATTTTCCAAAATTTTACGTCCAGGCTTTGAATTACATAGAACACAATGGAACTTCGAATTCAGAATTGCTCTTTTTTTCCGAGAGTTCGTCGCGCATCTGCATGTGTATCTCACGGCGGTTCGGGGGGTGGGCAAGATGCTTGCACGCGTGTTGTTTTGCGCACACATGAGTCGAAAAAAACCCAGGAATATGTATTAAGTAAGGAATGTTCCCAGAGGTTCAGAAATCGCTTGGCCACCGCTTGGTATTCTGGTGTTTAAAGTGGGTATGTTACCTCGTCGCGCTAGCAAAACGCAGGGTTGCGCTAGGTTCGCGCTAGGTTTGGCGCTAGGATCAAGTACTTAGTAGATTAACAAACAAGAGCTGATTGTAACGGTCACTCATTGGTGCACATACACACACACACCCGCACAGGCATAAGAGCAGCAACTGTTTGAAAGGGAGTAACTGTTTGAGAGACGAGAAAGCGAGTTCTTGATCACAGACTTTTGGTGGCCTCATGCACTGGCAGGGAAGCGCGCTAGATCCGCGCTAGACCCGCGCTAGATCCGCGCTAGACCCCTTTGCAACTTTGACCACTTGTCCAAGTGCTTTCCAGGGTGTATAGTCTTGGCAATTTGTTTCTGTGTGCAAGAGGATGGCTACTTTCAGCTTCACATTTGGAACCATTGGACTCTGTAAGTAAGAACGCAGCTGTTAAAAGGGCATACACAACATACAACCATATACATGAGCGCATGTTGAGTACATGATGGCCACCGCTTGGAATTGCTGTGATTTCAACCTAGGATAATGATTTTAGAACGGTTTTTTTTCAACTCACATGTGTATCTATCTCACGCATTGGAATTACAAAGCACAGTTAAAGGTCGCAGGATATGTTGAGATCCAGGTCAGTACTGGCCTTGTGGATCAAATGTGGGCTTGTAAAGCGGTGGGCGCCGAAGCCAACCACTGCAAGAAGCAAAGAAGGAGAAGTCATCAACGGCTTGTCGTTGTGGGTGTGTGTGCCGGCGGTGGTTTGCAAATATATGAACGAGCGTGGGCAAAAGCTCTACGCAAGCCTGGCTGAAGCAATGCGGTGGTAGCAAGTTGATCTCACGGAATCTCGACTGGCAGGCTCGGCGTAGAGGCGAGGAAGAAGGGTTGCTTGAGGCAGTGACCGTTTTGGAAAAGAGTACTTCGCGAGCATTCAACAAAACATTCACTGTCTTCAGTAAACCCGGCAGGAAATAGAACCATCGCCAAAAATCAAGGTGTAAGCGGCCAAAGTGTGCATAACTGTTGTCGAACATATATATATATAGGTGGGGGTACAAGTGCGCAACCATCGTCGAAGACCAAGATGGAAGTTGCCAAAATGTGCAAATGTTATCGAAAATCAAGGCGGGCATTGCCCAACCGGCTTCAGAACCCGGAAAATTTGTAGTGCGCATGTAGCGCGGGCCGCAGCTTCTGGGAGCTGTGGCCACAGAACTAGTACACATGTACGACGGTAAGTAGTTTCTGGAAGTTCGGGCTCACAACTGGCAAGTTCGTAGTACAAATGTAGTGCGGGAAGTGGGGAACTGGCAACTTTGTGGTGCAAATGTCGCGCGGGACAGGCTTGTTGGAGCTGTGGGCTGAATCTATTACGTGGCACATAGTGCGGCGAAATTTCGTCTGTGGCGTCGCTGCCGGCGTGCCGCTTGTGAATGGGATGCGAGCGGCGGTTGCCCAGAAGAGTGTCCAACAAGAATGTCTCACAAAAGTGTCCCACAAAACCGCCCCACACCGTCCCACACGAGCATCACAGACAAGTGTCGAGCGCTTTAGAGGGGTGTTTTGAAGAGTCCCCCCACAAGTGTGTTTTGCAAGAATGTCCCGCAAGGGTGCCCTTAAGAACGCTCCACAACACTGCCGCACAAGGGCGTTGCGCATGAGCGCCCCACAGGTAAAATTTGAACGTTGAGATTGTCATGTCACATCTACTTTAACTTGGCGTTAGCACCATTAGTTATATAACATTCTGATCGCCATCATTATTCTCGCAATACTGTCATCAACATTACCATTGCCTTGAGTCATCTCCCACTGCGCTGTCGGGCCACCCTGGCATCTGGTTTTTGCATGAGTTTGCTAGTTTTCCTATGCCCTACATCGCCCTGCCGCCCTGCACATTCACGGTTGTCCATTTTGGAGGATGGTCGAGCTGAGATGGCGGCCGCAGAAGCGGAGGCCTCTAGCGCAGGGGAGCCGATCCTCCACGTGGGGAGCGCCCAAAAACGTGGACCGACGCGTCGAACTGAAATTGTTGATATGGACCTTTGCTCCTAGTAGATTCTTGCTACTAGTAGCTTCTGGTTCCTAGTAGTACGGCCAGGAGCCCCTAGTAGCGTTCTTGCTCCTAGTAGCGATGCCCTTGGCTACTAGTAGCTTCTTTGTTCCTAGTAAGCCCCTAGTAGCGTCCTTGCTCCAGCGATGCCCTTTGCTCCTAGTAGCGTCCTTGCTTCTATGCCTATTTTAGCTTGTAGATGCTTGTAGTGTCGCTAGCGCGTTGTTCGCTTGACTTGCGCTACATGATGTAGCCCCTTCTGACCGAGGAGAGGAGAGTGTGCGTTTGCGGTTTCCGTGGTTGTGGAGATTCGGGGTTTCCAGCACCACTGGGCTTGCAAGACGAAGGCCAATAAAGAGGGGTGGAGCCATTCCGTTGTTCGCGCTAACAGTCGGAGGGCAGAGAAGATCCTAGCCAGGCAGTCTAGGGAGGACGCAGGTCAAGAAGAATTCGGCAGCCGTTCCTAGGGCTGGGGCTCCAGGACGAGCGCGCCATGTAAAGCTCACGCGTCACAAAAAGGACTGTGCTCTCGCGTGCCGAGCTTCGCAGGAGTGGCTTGTTGGAGAGCAGGATTTCCGCGGGGTGCGCTGTCACATGCCGTCGCCCACGGCCACCTCCACAAGCCGAGTTTGAAAAAGGCTGTCACAAACGATTGCGAATTTGTTGCTTTCGCCTTTCAGCTGAGTTTGACAGTTAGGGTGGTTGCGTCCGGGGCAACCACTTTGCAAGGCCCAGCGTCACATCATCCGTCGGCTTCGCACTCCCTCACCTGAACCGCCAGGAGCCGGACGCAACCGACTTCACCCGGCATTTGGTCCTTACGTCGTCTTACTTACGTGGTGCGCGGGACGCTTTCGTTCCAGGTCACACGATGATTGGTGTGGACAGCAAGCAGGACAACACAGGAGTCCTCGCCCATGCTGTCCTGCAGCCGTGCGCAAAGCCGTTTTTTCCCGGGATAGGTAAAGAATGGCAAAGATAAGGTTGCCGAAGTTGTGGGCAGGTGGGGCGTTCTAACATTTCCCATCATCTCCCCCGAAGAAACTGACACTTTTGTTTTTTCTCCTCATTTGGGCATCACCTTTCTGCACAGGAATGGCGCTGGGATGCTGTTCTCTTTAGAGCCCTTCTTCAGATGCACTGGCGGCTCATCGCACGTGCGCCCAAGCGCCTGACTTCAGGGGCGGCCCAGGGGGCGCCCTGCTTCTTCCACGCTTTGCAGGTTCCATGAAGACCGCGGGGGCCGGGATGTAAATGAGACGAAGTGCAATTTTATCACCGCCCGCCCTGATTTCATGAAGACAGCACTGGAACACTCATTGGCATTGATCCATGTTGATGTCCATTGACAACTTGGCAGGTGGCAGTTGCCGCGCACTGACCAGGATAGTCCGAACTTCAAAGCCCAGATTGAGCCGTAGTAATCCAAGGTCGTGGGCCGGAAGCGTTACTGTCTAGGTGGAGACAGGCCGGCGTGAAAAGCTACCCGGCTTCGATCACCTGACGAGCCAGGTATCCAGAACATCTCACGTCCCTCACTTGCGGCTTCATGGGTTGCTGAGGCAGAAATGCTACAAGATATTGAATATTGTCTCATCTGAAGCTCAGTACTCCTACGAGATGGTGGGCAGCTGTATAGAAGAAATCCATGTTTTACCTGCAGGAGCGGGCCAAATGTTCCACGCCACGTTCACAGCGGCCTTGCTTTGCAGGTCTTGATTCCCAAGCGCCCGGTAGCCACCCGCGGAGTTTGCGTACATTTCCATGACTCTGTGCACTGCACTGCTGCTTCGCGTTTTGCCTTTAACCTTCTTGTGGGAGAACCAGAACAGGTAGAAATGGTTAGCCGTTTGCCAGAAAAACTGAAGGGCTCAGTCTTGCCACCAGCCGCGTTCATCATATCTGAAAATGCCCATCCACTACCACGGCTTTGCCAAACCAATTGAATAGACAGCAACGAAAACAAAACACGAACCTATGGAAGTGTGGGCAGCAAAGGCAATTGGGTATAGTTGTTGTTTGTTTTCGTTGTTGGTTTGTTTGGTTTTGGTGCCAATGCCAAGCAGACAGCAGATGTAATTCTAGACCGTTCAATGCTATATCCAATCGAACTCCTTTGCAAAAATTGCACTTTCTTTGGGGGGGCACCAAAGGCCAGCAAAAAATATTATGTATATATATATATATTTATAGTTATATATATATAAGTTTTATTGAAAGTATTGTAGTTTCAATTGAACTAGCTGTTTTTTCGCACAATGTTTTTTGCCTAAAATCTAAAATCATAAACCCTTTCATTGAGCTAATGCTGTTTACATGTTTGGTTTATATCTTTACTCAGTGTATTTAGCCCCTTCTGAGAGATCCATCGAATGTATTTTGTTAAATCAAAGCTGAATATTATTCACAAAGTTATTGATGATGTATTGTTCAGTGTGCCAAACTTGAATATTGGCTTTAGCATCAATAAGAGGACTTTTTTTCAGTATGTCACTGATTACTTTGGTCATATCTCCAGTTTCATCACCAATAGCCGTTTCCTTTGCGTTGTTTGTTCCTGTAAACTGGCGGGAGCTGCTCTTTGTTGAGTAACATCTTCTTCTAATGCAGCAGTATTTTCAGTGTATGTGTTTCATTGTCCAGGGCTTTTGCACCTGCATGGTCTTAATAATATGGTCTTACAAGATTTGCAGCGTTTACTTGTAAAAAAGCAGTTCTTTTTACTTCGTGCATATTGTTTATTTACAGAATAGATTAAACGAATTATCATGTAAGAAAGAATTAAACCTTAAAGCGCGCACCACCACGAAATCTGCACATCAAGCACATCGTGCGGTCCAAGGCGTTTTGCAAGAGCACTTCAGACATCAAGATGCCATCTCCACATGTCCAAAGGTCAAGAGCGGAAAGTTTCACCTGACATGCCATGTTGCGCGCAACCCGCCACATGGAACCCGTGCATTCGAACTCAATCTGTGAGTGGGCTGAAACCTTCAATCTGCATTGGAAGCAGCAGCGGGTAGAGAGACCAGGTGCGTTGACACGGAACCGACTTCACCTCAAGTCTGACGAGCGTGTGGTTCAGGTGGTTTGTGCCACATGATGTAGCCGCAATGTAGCCCCCTGTTAGCTCAGGCGCCCCTATGTCAGAAAATGGTGATTGGGAGCTGAGTACACTAAAGTTTGCTCCTTCGCTTGTGCATGTTGTAGCCGTAGCGCATGCGCTCGAGCCAAGGTTCACGACCAGGTTCGTCTAGAAGGCCTAGTCAAGAACAAAGGCGGGTGGGAAAGGGTTGTTGTTTTGCTGAGGTGGTTGGAAACGCCCGCGCGGGTTTGCAGTGAATCAAAGGTGAAGTGATACAGAGATTTACGACATGTCATGATTGGGTGCGTTTGTCGTCCGTTTGTGGTTGTTTTGTTGAGATTTGTTGGAGTGCGGATTTGGTTGGCTAGCAACACCCTTCAGTTGCCCACTCATGCTGGACAGGCACTAACGGTGCGCCAGGATCTCAAGCAGTGGTTGCGAGCATCGAAGGGGTAGAATGAAGGGACAGTCATAACGGGCCGCTTGCACCCAGCTGGGGAAACTTGGATCACATCACAAACAACCAGCACAAGGAAACAACGGCACCGGAGATGATGTTCTATTCTTTAGCTGAAACTGGCTCATACCGAGGCAGAAAGGAACCTGGATGCGTATTGGACGCATTTCAATACACCCGTATTGGGAGTCCGTAGCCCGTAGGAACCACTCCAGACACGTTCTGATTCCGAGGCTGGGCATTCTACAGGCCTATGGCGCCGAAAGCCATCGGTGGAAGGTCACGCTGCATGATGGTCAGGACGGGTTCCTGGTTTGGCAATTGGAATGTCAATGTCAAAAGTCCACGGTTTGTGTACAAGCTGTGATTTCAGATTGCTTCCCGATTCCCTCTCCGCCTTTTGGCCAGACAAAAACTCATCAACCTCCTTTTTTGTCAGAGGTCTTTTGGATCAAGCCAAAGCTTTTGAAGCCTTTGCAACTTCGCCGTCACTCTGCCAAGCGGGGAAGAGGAAAGGGGAAGTCTTAGTCTTAACATTGCATGAATGTAGCGGATGAGGGAGATTGGGGCCAGAGACTATCATCCGACCGGCAAATTGGTTCTGAAGACTTGCTTAGGCTTAGTTTGTTCTAGCTTCAAAGACATTGAGACTCTCAGAGGTTTTGAAGCCATTGTGACTCTTCCCATGTGTTTGCCAGGTATGCCACTGCCAGATCCATCACCACCCGAAGACACCACTCACGCTGATGAGGTACAGTGCACAGGGCGCATAGCAGGACTCGGAGCTGTGGAGTCCAGTTTTCTTTTTTCCAGGGCAAAGGTGTTTTTGCATGAAAGAATAGCCCGCGGTCACAAAGGTCAACAGCGTTGTTGCTCACTCCTACCACAAAAATCTGTTTGTTTTCCTTCTAAGGCCCTCGTCCTCCAAGCTCTGTCTGTTCCAAGTCGACAGTGTTCTGGCTCAGATGTCACGGGCCGATTCAAAGTTTTGGCACGAGTTGTAATATATTTCTCTGCATGTCACAATAATCACAATAGAACCTCTAGTTACCCTAGTTTCAAGGCGTTTGGAATCGCCAGCATGCAGAGGTGTGTTTTGTTTTTACGACCTGGAGCCATGTTTGTACCGTATTACCAACAGCCTGCGACAACGTACACTATGTGTGCCGTACCTGGCACAGTGCCCACTTTTGGTGGAGCAGTGGTTCGCACGAGAGCCACTGGTAAAGTCACAGCAAGAGCCTTGCTTGCAGTTCAGAATCATTCAGCACTCAGTTCAGGGCTGAAAGCAGGACTCAGCTCACAACCATGCATACTTGATCCCCATTCAAACTGCTTTCCGAAGGAGTGGAGATTGACGGCGAGGTTCATGAAATTCGATATGGACCAGGCTCATATGGGTGTAGCACCCATGGCGTGGTCGCAGTTTCTATCGTTCCCCTGTCCCAGGAGAGGAATTCGAATCTCCTGCAGACTTCTTCCCACCCTGTAAGGCTGCATTGAGACTTCCGCTCTTCAACTGCACCGGCATCGGCGTTTGCCTTCGTATGGTAATTACATAATCATATAAACACACTGTTCATTGCTTTATAGTTATATAGTTATATTTTCTCTTTTTGTGGCGCAAGATTCAGCGACCGTTCCAAGGTGCCAAGCCATGTTGGGTTTTTTGCAGTCCATCGGGGCCTTTGACGCTTTACCAACCATCGACAACAGCCCGCAGCGCACGCCCGGCACGCTGCAGGTTGCGCTACCCTTTTGTGGCAGCATGTCACCTGGCCGTAGGAAGAGGTCAGTATAACATTTGTCACAGCGTTTAATGTTTGCCTGCTAGGCACAATATCCACGTTACCTAGGCAAGAGCTTTTGGTGATCACCGACTTCTTGGCCAAGCAGGTCTTAGGAGCCACGTTCACCAAAAGCATATTTACCCTCACCTCCAACGTGTGTGTGTGTGTGTGTTAATTCGTTTTGGATGGGTGGCCTTTGTTCGGACGGAGCCCACAGAAGCACCAGAGCCGCTTTGCATGGCTGACTTGTAGGACAACAGAATGTCAAACAGATTGCCATCATGGGCTCGGATCTTTTCGACTGGAACTTGAAAGGTGGCTATTGGAGACAGATGCTTTCAAAATCAAGCACAGAGTCAATGAACATGTGAGCTGAAATCTTGAGTTTAGAAAGATGAAAACTTGTCCACTGTCTTATGTTATTGCTCGCCCCTCCTCAAAATACGATGCGCTCAGATTTGTTGGATCATAGCTAAGTCAAATGAGGAAGGAGCTGCATGTGAGACGGCAACTTCCTGGCATGGATTTGAAGTTCTGCCAGTTGGACTTGTCTGCTGTTCAGCATCCCCCTGCGTCCTTGGTCTTTGCAATCCATCCAGAATGCACAGTGCAAAGAGAGCTGTGGAAGCCGCAAAGCTTAAGTCTGAGAGCTGTGGCGCGTCAGGGATCAGGTGTTTAATGTAAGAATCAACAATCGCCCAACTCGAGACACCAAAGAGACGGGTTCACGTAGTTGAAGGCAGGGCTAATCGGACCGGTATGAATTCATGTAGTGCTATTCTGAGCATTTCTGAGCTATTCTTCATTCAGACCTCAGATGCTGTCGAGTGACTCGACCAGCTAAGGAAGATCCTGTCAAATGTTATATCTGCAACTGTTGGCCTTTGTGTTGTGGCCACCTTCTCAGAGGACGAGGCGAAGGCCAGAACTGCAAACCCTATAAGCGTGAAGCCAAAGCGGGCCGGTAGCAGATGGCATCGCAGGTAGTGGCCAGCATCGGCCAAGCCCTCCAGCGTCGCTGTCAAGTTCATCAGAATCCGTACTATGAAGGCGCAAGCCCTCCTAGCGGTCCTAGCGGGCCGCCCAGTGGGCCTGGCGGGTGTGCCTTGGCGTTGCACTTTGGAAACACGAGACGTTGCCCAATGGCAATCCATGCCCACACTACAGCTTTTACATGCGATGTGTGGCAGCGTGTGCTTGCGTTTATCTACAACCAACAATTCCGTGTGTTCCGTGTTTCCGTGGCACAAGGGTTTGAGGAACGATGATGCGAGCGTGTGTGGGTTTGTGTTTTGTGCTGTGCCCTTGCCGGCTTTCCGGTCAAGGCTATCCAAACCCGCCCTTCATGAAGTACATCGTGACGGTCACCCGATGATGCAACATGACGCGACCAAAACAAATTGCCACAGACGAGATGCGCAAGACTTCCACTTTTGATAGAAGTGGAAACATATAAGCGAGAGAGAGAGAGAGAGAAAGAGAGTGCCAGGGGCCTCGCGCGAAGTGATCCCCCGCTTGCCCGCTTTCCTTTTGGCTCCCTTCTTTCTCAAGGTCTCAAGCATCGCGTAGCATCGCCAGTTCCACATGGAACCACTGAAATCCTATCGGCACCGGTGAACCTACCATGATCATCCATCCATCAGAGCTTTCACTGATTCACAAAGTGCAAATCCACAAAGTCAGAATAGAAAATGAATAATAATGAATAGGTGTTGTGGATGTTGAGATTGTCATTTGATTCCGCCATGGTGCTTCATGGAGTTTCGGCATGGCAGGTCAATGCTTGCATCTAGGCTTTTTTTCTTGAATCCGCCGGAACAGTGCGTATCCTACAATGCGAACCTTTGCCGCAGTTGCTATAATATAACTATCTTAATTTTCGTTGTTGACAAACTAGCCGACTAGCCATCGTGCATTCAATTAATTTGTTTTGGCCTCGAGCCTGATTCAACTTTGCAAAGAATCCAATAGGATTGGTCCTCATGGTCCTCCAAGTTGCACAATCCGGCACCTCAGGTGCGGAACATTTGGCGGCTTGCTGTCTTGAGACTAAGCTCAAAGGCATGAAACACATGACACTTGACACGTCAATGAGTGACTAAGGAGGATATGTTCCGTTGCGGGGACTGAGGAGGCACAGTGAAAGCTTTTCAGTGCTTGTTCCACCGTTTCAACCGTACGTGTTGAGAATGATTCAGGCACAGAGCTGCGAGACAGAGACCAGGCCGCCATCAAAGCAGAATTTGCCTTCATTTCTGTGAAGTGTGTTCCTCATTTCTTTGAATGCCTGATGCCGTGGAGGTGTCCTGGTCGCATCATTGTTGTTGGGGCTGGCTTGGCTGGTTTGGTGGCAGCACAAAGCTTGCGGCACGCCAACTGCCACTGGTCTCAATCGATCGACCTGTTTCAGTCGATGCGCTCGAGTCAATCTCGAACGGAGGTGATGTGGTGGTCTTGGAAGCGAATGATCACGTGGGTGGTCGGGCCGCTGGCATCCTTCATGGTCCATTCGAAGGATTAGAACAAGGCAAGACGCAATCCGAGACACAGGGCTTTCTCCGCTCTCAGCTACTTTCCGGAGCCCCTAGTAGCGTCCTTGCTCCTAGTAGCGATGCCCTCCTAGTAGCTTCTTGTTACTAGTAGTAAGGCCAGTAGCGTACTTTATAGAGTGTTTTGTTGCGTGGACACGGAAAGATCACACGCAAGCCCAGAAAAAATTCACGCATAGCTCGATCAAATGACAATGTTTTTTCTTGCGAAAGGTGCTCAGTGGATTCACGGCGGTGCTTCTTGACAACAAAAGTGTCGAAAGTGTTGAACCTGTGTTATTCCGCAGAAAATAGACGTGCCGCTTGTGCGTGCGGTTCATCCATTATATCACATCACCTTAGGAGCGCAACGTTGTGATGATGGCCCTGCTCCATCTCTACAACATGCCCACTTTACGCGTTGGGGGTAACACGGATTTTGAAGGTGGCTTGGAGCCATCAGCCCTGACTTGAAGACAGAAACATCACGTGCAAACGGAAGAAAACTCAAGATCACCATATTTGAGTGGAGAGTGTGCGAGTTTGTGATGACTTTGCTGTAGAAATCCTGGCACCTTCTTCGTGGCTGGAAAGCGAACAAACAGAAGTTATTTATACTGTTTTGTATGCCGAGCCACATGGTCCAGGCGATGATGAGAAGCATCATTTCTTTGCAGATCGTTTCAACGATTCTCTGAAGGCTCAGGCACTCCAAGACATCGAGACATATCACGGAATATCACGGACGTTTCTGATTTGTCCAAAGCATGTTCTGAAGACAGTGCGGCACTATGGGAGACTGAAACTCATACAACATGTTTTCAATGTTTTTTCACATCATGAAATCTATATAAACTATATATATAAATGTATATTAACTATTTTCAACATGTACTTCAATGTGTTTTCAATATTTATGTATTACATGATTGACGACTTTCAGGCTTTCCGCCAGTACGAGGAAGCCAAAGTTCTTTTCGAAAGAGCGGCGCAAATCCGAAAGTCCGATGTCTCGGTGCGACTCTCGGAGCAAAGACGCTACTAGGAACAAGTGCATCGCTTCTAGTAACAAGTGCCTTACTAGTAGTAACAAGAAGCTAGTAGAAACAATATTTAAATAGAATCGAATTAAAATTACTAGCAAAGGAGTCTACTAGGACGCTACTAGTAACAAAGGGCATCGCTACTAGGAACAAGAACGCTACTAGGGGCTGCTGGCAGTACTACTAGGAGCAAGGACGCTACTAGGGGCTGGCCTTACTAGGAACAAGAAGCTAGTAGCTAGTAGGTTGGAGGCAGCTATTTGGTGTCCTTTTTCTCGTCATGTTTGTTTTGTCGTTCTCGACTTGTTTTTTCTCCTTCAGTCCGTCACCAAGGAGATGCTTGGGCAACTGTTTTGTCGAAGCTGCCGCAGCGGGACGCAGCAATTTGGCTTCAATGCCTTCCCCTTTTTCGCACATGATTTGGTGATTGAGCAAAGCTTGGATCACTCATTTTCCTCATTTCAACTGGAGTTGGTTTCCAAAATGTTGGGTTTCATCATTGCAACAGAACGCCTATGGAGTTCATGGCATGCGCTTCAGGAGCTTTTGGAATGGCAATTGCGCGTCCGATCCGAACAAAATTGGGCGACCCAAATGGATGATGTGGGGCTTCGTTTGGCTGAGCTGGCAACCTACAGACACTTGCGCTGAGCTGTCAGTTGTTGCTAAGGCTTTAAGAAGGGACTACAAAAAGAATGTGAAGAAAACAAAAGGGTATGGTGTAGGATCAACTAGGATCCCTTTAATAAGGCCCTACGAGGGTGCCTTTGTCCGTGTGACGAAAAGTCCTGTTGTCTTCTCCTTCTTTCGCAGAGAGTCTGCTAGCGACTGACTAGCCCTTCGCAAGTTCCGAGAATGAATTGAGTGCGTGTCACCAGGCGACTTTGATAGTTCGGTGACTTGGCAACTTCCAGAGCATTTGGAGATCCACAGCGTGCCACAGATGAGACGTGATTTGTCAATGATGACACTCAGCCGATTCAACTGATACTTCCGAGGCACCTCATCATGGCGGGGATTTCCGCTTCACGCCCTTGGTCCGAAGCATCGTGCACATGGCTTTGCATGGCATTACGTACTCGTTCCAAACTCTGTGTGCAAAGTATTCATGGTTAATTCAGGTTTTTGCAGGATAAATTGGTTGGAGGTAGGCCTTCATACTTGTTGGGTCTAGCGTGTGGTGCAGTGTGGTGAGATGATGTAATTTCACCGCATTCGAGGTCCAGTGGCGCCTTGTCAGCATGGAACACAGGGATGAAAGCAGGAAAAGGCAACACGACGAGTGTTACACACGCTGTAACATTGGGTCTCGTTGAGTGGTCAATGGATTTTGGTGAGATCTCTTGGGTTGCTACAACGACTAAGTCTAAGTAAGACCAATGTTTGGCATGGAACTAGAAGCACGGACAAGTCGGTCGAGTTTGCAGTCTTGGGCCCGTCTTGTTTGCAGTCGAGCTCCAATCCTCAGCGTTGACCCGTGTACCTATTTGTGTTACCTGGTCTTTGTTGACCCGTCTTGTGTCTCTTTGAGGCGAGTTGCTGGCTAAGCTCTCCGAAGGTTTGGATCTTCGGCTCAACACAAAGGCGGGACCGGCATCAAAGCACCAAGTCGAAGCACCTTTGATGCGAAAGAGATATGAAACACTTAAAGTAATAACAATAACAGCGATGGCCTCCACCCTACTAGCATTGGCAAGAGATGGACGGAGTGTCTCTGGATTCGGTGAAGCAATCGTGAAGCAATCCCTGCGTTTGCGTTGCCTTAATTCCCGCGTTTGGCTCAAGTGAAAAGCTGCTCAAGATTGCTCAAGTGCTTTGCAATCGTGGTGCTTGTATGTTGTCCACCTGTAACAGGTTTGATGGCTCTTTCTAAGGATGTTCGGGCGTCCCTCAAATATATTTGCATCAAGAGGTTAATTTTGGAGCTGTGACTGTAAGAGGTTCGAGTTAGATTTGGCCCTTGACATCCATTCACCCATCATCCTGATCCCTCAAGTGTCCCGTGGAGGTGAAATCCATCCACTTCGAGAAGGACGACCGCTTGATGGTGCAAACTGATCAGACCATTTACCAAGGCTTCATCCCGCCAGCACAATCCGCTCATTGAGTTCATTGATGTAAGTGCAAATGATATGTTTGCTCGAAGGGCCGCGGTAGAGGTCGGTTTGTGTGTCTTTGACTTGGTGTCCCAGCCCAACATTCTGAGCTCATGTGATTTCTCTCGCAAAACATTCCAAGTTTCGATTCCCACTGTGAGCAGTTTTTGTTTGTACAGCGAATGCAGGTGCGGCAGTAATTGTGACCGCCTCCTTGGCAGTGCTCCAGAGGCATCAAATTCACTTCCATCCCCCAATGCCATCCTCTTTTCTAGCCTCTTGGCGAAGGTAATTGTTTCGTGTGGAGAATGCCATCAGAATTGGGGAGCCACACACGCGCACACGCACACACACAAACAGTCACAAACACGTGGGACCTCACAACGATGCCTTCAAATTGGAAGTTGGATGAATTTTGTCTCTTTAGAGATTTGTCTACAACAATTTTAGTCACTGTAGGACGGGACTTAAGATGCCTAAGGTCATTTCAAGGTGCCTTTTTGCAAAACAATTCCATCACGCATCACCTTGTGCAGTGCCACGTATTGTATTGTTTGACTGGCGGTGTGTCATTTTGCCAAGGCAGCCTTGGGGCGTGGCTCGGCGGTCGAAAGGGAACTTCCGGCTGAATCCAATCCGCTTGAGTCGGAAAGCTTGGAGAAAGCGCCTTCATCAGCGCCTGAGGTTTTCAGATGGGTCAGCTGGGAAAGCTTTTCGTGAAGTTCACACCTGGTCAATGCCCGATAGGTGCCCGTAGGTTATCAGCCTGCTTCTGGTGCATTGATAATGGTCACATCTTTTTTCATGTCCTGTAGCCGCTTTCTGTACGGCTAGAATCTTTTCGGTGCCGAGAGTCCTACATCCGTTGAACTCGAAAGAATGCTAAAGGGAGACGTTTTGATGGCAGTCCATGTGTTTTTCAGGGGAGACGACCTACCTTCTCTCAAGATTGGTCTCAAGAACCTCACGGAGGCTGCTTTACTACTGCATTCGTGTCTCGTCTCAAAGACCCATCTGAAGCCGCACCATGCGGTGCCCATAGCGCTCACCAAGGTGAAGATGTGCCAAGCACGGTGCCGCTTGGACATTCACAGCATAGCCACAGCACAACAGGCTGTGCTCGATTGTTTGTTTTTTGGGGGGGCATGCGTCCGCAACATGTTTTGTATCAGATAGGCGGACCCTGAATCCCAGCGTGTTTCCCATGCTTGCCAAGGGCTTTGGTTTGCCTGGTCGGGGGTCCTTCCTACGAGGTCCGGCTTGCACGTGGGTATGCACCGCTGCGATTGTGTCGTTTTTCGGTGGGAAAAGACTTGTCGATTTCTGTCGGTCGATTGTGTCGATCGAAAACCAAATAGCAAACATTGTTACTACTAGTAAGGCACCTGTTACTAGTAGCGATGCACTTGTT